GGGAAACCCTTATTGGCTTCCATTTTGAAATTTGCAAGTAAACCAGGAGAGGTGGTGTCAGCTTTACTTAGCAGCCAAAATATCACCCTTTGTGCTAATCCAGACAGTTGCTTGTATCTGGCAGTGTTTTCAGGAAGCACGCATTGATGCATCTCTTGCACCCCATCCCTGGGCAGGGTATGTCCAGGCTTAGGAGAGCAGGGGAGAAAGCAATCAAAGCTGTCACATCAGACTGGAAAGCATTAGCACTAATATCCCAATGACCAGCTGCCTTCCCTGCCAAAGGCTGCTGCAGTCTTCCTTACACAGACGAGTGCTGTTCAGATAGGCTGTCCGTCCAAGGTGAACGCTGCCGATAGACATTGATTTTGTGCCTTTTATCTTCTGTCTGAGAAGCTAGTCCTTTGCCAGCCCTTTGTGGGTCTCGTAGCAGTGAAGAATGTCCCTTGCTTCAGTCTTTATTCTTGGGTGATCTTTTCAAGAGTTGCACTCCTAGAGCACGAGGGGAGTCTACTGCCCTATGCCCTGTAGCTTCTCTTACCCCTGCTGGCCTTAGAAACATGAACTGCTGAGTTGATGCGATTGTTCCAGCCTGCCTTGTACAAAGCCCAATTACAATGTTGTGTTTCTTCTTTGTCTCCTGCAGTAATGGTGCTGTCGAGTCGCTGAACCTGCTCCTCTACGAAGTAGGCGGCAATATAAGTATGTGAGATTGGATGCTGAATAGCTACAGATCTCTTCTTGGTGCTGGGGCATTAGTGGGGAATTAAGAAAGAAAGAGTCTGGCTGCGGGAGAGGGTTCTGATAAAGGTGGAGCAAACTGTACTCCCCATGGGTGAAATTCACCCAAGTACACAGGACCCATACGAAACCCTCTGTCACTTAAGCGGTTCAAAGAGTCCTTGAAGTGGTTATCCAGGCAATCCAGCTTGATAGAGAGGGGAGTTATTTAAAAAATGGGCCCAATAAACAGTGTTAAAGCCCAGACATCCCGAAGTTGTGGTCAGCTCCCCTAGAGAACAAGGCCATTTGGAACAATGGGAGCTTGTGAGTGCTGAGCTCTTGGCGCAGGTGCCTACAGTAGAGATCTCTTTAAAATGTGACCCTAAAATAGTTACGCTTTCTAAAGGAACTTCTCTGAAATGCAGCAGAGGTAGGTACGTGTCTACTTCTTTTCACGGTGATACAAAGGCTTTTCTGGCACTAATTCTGAATGACCTGCAGAACTTGCTTGTGGTTTTAACACAGACATCCAGAGCAATGCCATTCCATCCTCTGCCATCCTCTAATTCATATACAGGTTTTCTAACCAAACCCAACTTTATTCTTGTGAGTCAGTCTCCATTGTACACCTCGTCCTGTTTAAAGACTGAGTCTGCAGCATTAGTAAAAATGAACCTGTGCCATAATATGATGTACAGTATCATCATCTATTACGTATTAAAGGAGAAGGCTAATGCTGCTGGAAGGCTTGCTCACTAATGAACTAGTAACAACCTGTTTGGGTTGTCTTTCCCTGATAGCAGCTGGCTCAGCAAATTCAAGGTTCTAGTTGGGTTCCTGCTTGTCTTGTGAGGACTGATAAGGCTTGTTATGGTATTAGGAATCTTTAAAGATGGTCTCTGCTAATGAGTACAAAGGACATAGAGGTGAGGCAACATGGACTAAGCACAAAGATGGAGTTTCTGTAATGTCCATCTATAATGAGCTATAGGATTGTCAGGAGAATAACTCTATCTACCAGAAGAGGTCTGTCTTTAATGCTTCTCCATTATAGTATCAACAGAAGACAAGGGACTCTGCCTGCTTGATAGAAGTAACTAAATCCCTTCGACCAGATCCAAAGGCTGCGAGTGATCTGTATGAAGGTCTTTACCAGCACTAAAGTTCTTGGCTGTTAATACTGTGTTATTATGCCTTTATTGTGATAAAAGGCCAAAGCTAGGAATGGGGATGGTAGGCTGGTTCTCTGTAGTGACTGAAGTTGGCCACAAGAGTGTATCTGTTCAGGAATCTTTACTAGTTCATATGCTGGAGGATGGCCCACTAAGTGTCATTTATTCTAAGGGACACTGTCAACTTACCCCAGAACTTAAACACACAGAACACTGGGGGAAATTATTCATGATCTAGAATGAACTTAATTATTTTTTTTAGCTGCCAGTTCTATATTAAAAATACACAGAACAGTTGGCAGGACAAATTATTGTCACATGTAAGTATTAGCGGGTGATGTGTTTAACCACATGCCTTTTTTTAAGCTCATGATGTTGACTTCAATGAAAGGTACTCACATGCTTAGCATTAGACACATGCTTATTACCTTGCTGAGTCAGGGCCATACTTCCGTAGTTAATACAGTTGGTAAATTGCTGCATTACTCTTAATGCTTCTATTCTGGTCTGCCATTTCTATATGCAGCAGAACTGTGTAAGGAAAGTAAAAGGTAATCTGATCTCTGGTTGATTTTAAAAAAGAATAGATGTTGATTTCTGAAACGTTGCATTGGAATGTGATAAACCCAAAGACTCTCTAGTGCATGAGAACCAGAAAGTGAAATTGACTGGAAACACATGTGAAAATAACAAATGTGGCTTTTAATTGACCAAGCTGAAATGAAAAAGATGAAATAAGCAGCATAGATTGTGAAAGCTAGATTAAATAATACAAATTCTGTCCTCATTATAAGCTAAGGTAGCATTAATAACACAGGTAAGGAAACTTCGTTATTTTAAAAAAATGTTTTTAAAGGGAAGATCAGATTGTAACCCATCTCTGTGCTTAAACTTCTCCAACACCACTGCCTGCACACTCAGGCCCTCTCTAAACTCAGAGTTTATAATGGTGTATTTAAAGCAGTACGTTAGTGCTACCACCCCTCTAGTTGGGGGTGCAGTAATTTTGATATCGCTTATTCCTGTATGGGAAAGGGAATAATTATACTGGTAAAAGTCACTTTTATACCAGTATAACTGTTCACACTAGGACTTTTACCAGTATAATTATTTCAGTAAAAGAAATCACACCCATAACCAAATTGTTATACCAGTAAAACTTTCTAATGCAGACTAGGCCTCAGATCAGATTCCAGCAAAGCACAAACAAGTGATAGAACATTATACATGCAAAACGCATCACCAGCACAGAGGTGGAATTGTCTATCTCATATCTGGAAGCATTAATGGTCCTGAAGTGATATACCCATCTTATAGAACTGGAAGGGACCTTGAAAGGTCATTGAGTCCAGTCTCCTGCCTTCACTAGCAGGACTAAGTACTGATTTTTGCCTCAGATCCCTAAGTGGCCCCCTCAAAGGTTGAACTCACAACCCTGGGTTTAGCAGGCCAATGCTCAAACCACTGAGCTGTCCCACTCCCCTAAGGTGCATGGGTAAAGTTGCTTGTTTACAAATGAAAACCACTTCTTAAAACTTGAGCCGTGATGAGTCCACTTCTAAAAACAAGGGTAGCTATTACTGACTTATGGAACTTGTTTGCTCTAAATAGCTATACATATATATTTAAAGTAATTTGAATAGTGTTACACACAGGAAAAAGTAATAGCTATGGGACTGAGGGTGCAAAATACTTCTTTTCAAAATTTGTGTTTTTATCCAACAGGTGAACATTGCCTGGATCCAGATACATACCTCTTAGACTTGTACCACATCAACCCCCATGCTGAATGGATTATAAGGCAAAATCCGTCCTTTCCACGGATGCTCTAGGGAAAACATGAGTGAAAATAGACTTTTGTTTCAAGATTCTGGGTGGGAGCAGAAAGCTAGAACTTTTCTTAATGAATGTGGCGTCCCAGAATGGAGGAAGGTTGTTACTTTGGAGGGAAATAAGCAGTGTTAGTTTGGAATGTTTTTTACTAGTTCAGTTACAGCAGGCTGAAAAAAGAGAGCACGTGAGAGTTGGTAACCAACGGAAGTCAACATTAGGTCACAGAATCCAGAAGGTGTGAATACTTTTAGTAAAGCACCTGCAAGCAGAGGTGCAGAGAAAGTGGGGTAGAGACCTGTCCTGGAAGAAGAACCTGGTAGAATGTGTCTTAATCCTTTTGGGTTTGCATTGTTCTTTATTTTGACCACGTCCTCATTTTGGAGGAGAGAGATGGTCAAATCAACTAGCACTATCAACAGTCTAGTCTCCTTGTCTTGTATGTGTTAAGTTTCATGGACTTTTCAGTGAGTGTCACATGTACAGTGCTGGGAGAACTAGACTCGTTTTCCCCCATCCCCCCACTCCTCAAGTCTCATGGTTTCTCTGAAAAGTGTTAGAATGCTTTTGGTTTTGTTTGTGGAGTGATATAATGAGTGACCTGATATAAGGAGAGCCTTGCATTCTTCAAATAACACATCTACAGTTAAAGCTGCGCACAAGAAAAAGTAATTGTTTCTGGAAAGACATGGATTTGGAATCAGCTCTTCTCAGAGGGACCAGCTGATAGAAGAGAGATGTCAAGGAGGAGCTGCTTCCCCGTCCCTTTACCTGTCCTGTTGGTAATGCACAGTAGAAATCATAATAGATACACCCAAGATGTGAAGTGCTCCAGTACTGAAAGGAAGACCAGCATCTAGTTTTGCTGCTTGATCATCTTTGTGAAACCTCCAGGGTAAAAGGTGGCAGAGGAGAGATTCTGGAACAGTATTTGAGGAATGTTTTTATTGTATTTCAAAGAACTTCTGTCCTGATATAGGGGCCAAACTGGACTTGGTTTGGGTGTGGTAGATCATATGTTAAAACCTGCAAAATCAACATTAATGTGAGGCTTAGTCTGACCTGGCCACAGCTCCACACAGTTTCTTATAGTCCTTGCCAGGGTAAAGGTAATCTAAGTGATGTGCGGAGATCATCTTTGACTACAAACTCCATCAGGCTACTGTGAGCACTGAATCGGGCTCTTTTATACTGGCTGCAACCTTCCATGACTCTGGAGTGTGCATGCCCTGGGTTTGGGGAGAGCCCAGAATAGTTACAGCCTGTCTGGTAGCATAAACATCTGTGTACTGGCTTCCTTAAGATCAGAACTGGAATGCAGCTCTGGAAGAGTACCTCAGAAGTGTCACTATCCTTACAGTGGTGCTGAAACCCCTAAAGAATGAAGGAGCCCACTATACACAATGGTAGAATGTGGAATGTGCAGCAAATCTATCCGTCTAACTGTACCCCCAGCAGGCAATATAATGTATTTTAAACATTCATGTGGCACAGACAGGGCTGTCCTTCAAGTATACTTCAGAAAGTCATCTTTTGCCCATCCTTATCCACCCTGGAGACGATCTCAGTATTATTTATTTCACTAATTGAATTGTTTCCATTGCCATCTGAATTGATCCTCTGTACTGTTTTCTCAGACTGATATTTAGCTGTTGCTCTTCCCTGTCTTGGAATCATAAAATTTCTTATAAGAGCACTTAAGTATAGATTTCTTTTCCTTTTTCCATCCCAGTTAAATTCTTTTGAGAGGATTAAGATCTTTGAGAAACAGCTGAGCCATATTCTGTTTAATTCTTCTTAGTCCTGATGTTGTTTCTGTATTTACGCTGCTGACTTTTTAAAATGTTGTCTATATGAGAATGTCTGTTGTTTTTGATTGTTTTTTAGATTAAAGCTATGATGTGCAGATGCACAGATTTGAGGGATCATTACTTTCATTTCTTCCACTCTCCTGATCCTCTTTTAAAGAGTCTAAATAACAATCTGAAATTGTAAGTGAAGATTTTCAAAAGTGGCTAACGACTATGGTGCCTCAATTTTGGGAGGGGAGAGGGGTTACTTAAGTGACCTTAGAGGGGCCTGGTTTTCAGAGGCAGGATGCTTCACGACTCCTGCAAATCAGGCTGCTCTTAGTTTGGGCCCTCAAAACACAAGGGCCACAAATTACTGGTCACTTCCAAAAATCTTGGCCAAAGCGATTGTTATGAGCATTAGCAAAAGAAAAGAACAAAAACACAGCAGAGATTTACAAAACCATGAATACAATATTCTAAAGTAATAGCTGCTGCTGCATGGTGGCACGTCTTTGGATACCAGGGGACCATCTCATGAATGATGCGGGAGTTAGAAGTATGTAGATGAGCCCATTCATGCTCTCCTACTAAAGGTGTTTGTATTGTAAGATGCACTCCTGATAGGTCTAAATCACGTGGCTTTCTTTTTTTTTTCTCCACCCATAGGCTACTATCCTAGGTAGCTTTATTTATATATTCAGTTTTTTTTTTTTCAATGTAAAACTTGTCTAGTGACATTTCATAAGTCATTACAATATCTCTCCATTGGGAACTGGAGCAGAGCACTCCTACCAGATACAAACAAATGACCCCCCTCCCTCCCAAGCCGATAAGCAACTGACTTTGCATTCCCCCTTCTCCCAACCTCAGCCCGGTTGTTCAGAGAGATGGCAAGATATGAACGCTTCAGAATGTTGGGAAATGCCAATCAATTGGTTGCTGGGGGTAATGATTTAGCGTTATCAGTAGGAGGGATACTCTACATCTTGGCTATTTTTTTTTCAAAGTTTTCAAATCTGGATACAAAATGCATGCCTAATTTGCATGCACAGTTAATTTAACTGAACATTCAAATGCTCCTCATCTATTTTGGGGTGGGATAGCTCAGCGGTTTGAGCATTGGCCTGCTAAACCCAGGGTTGTGAGTTCAATCCTTGAGGGGGTCATTTAGGGAACTGGGGTAAAAATCTGTCTGGGGATTGGTCCTGCTTTGAGCAGGGGGTTGGACTAGATGACCTCCTGAGGTCCCTTCCAACCCTAATATTATATGATTTGCAGGTACAACCGTCTGGCTTGTGCGTGCAAATTACAGACAGTTTGTGCACGTTTTTGAAAATCTGACATGAAATTGGCAAGTATAATAGTGTACTTTTGAGACAATAGAGATCCTTTATACATGAAAACACAATGGTCATTGGCCAAAGTAGTGGTGAACGAGATGTGCTTGTTTTAAAAAATATATATAGTTCAAGGTACAAAGACGGACAACAGTAGCAGCAGGATAGTCCAAATTGCAGTACAGGACTCTGCTTGCTTTGGTATGAGGAATATTTTATAGTGCTATAACAACTGTGCATTCTGATTGGCTACAAGGGCTAGAGGGTGGGGACAAAGGAAAATGCTACTCCATCACTTCTATAAAACAACTCATCTCTTGGTGATTTTCTCAGCAAACCAAACAATGTGAAATAAGTGCTGTGAAAAACAAGGTTCGAGGGAATATCTCATGAGGCAAATAGGCTAGGAATATAAAACTATATTCAAATTGTATGTCAAACTCCTCATCTCTGTCCATAGAATTGATGTTCTTTGGTATTTTCAGTTTCCTAATTTTGTAAAAAAGACCAAGTCTGGTGAGGCTAGAAAAATGTCACCACCATGTAAAAGTTTTGTTTTGAATGTTAGCTTTTATTAACTTTTTACAATAGTTTTAATGGTGTATTTAAAATCCACTTCATCAATAAAGCAACAAAAGAATCATAAGATGTTAGATAAATGGCTTTCTTATGTCCCATGTTCCAGTGGCAGGGTATGAAATCCGCACTTAGGATGGGATAGCAACTACGAGCTTGACTGGACAAAAATACATTCAGCTACTATGTTTGTCTACTGGAGATACTAGCCTATATTCTGATCTCAGTTCCACGCTGGATTTATTAAATTCATTTGACGACAGTGGCCCAAATTCAGTCTTGGTGGCATACAGTGAGTAAAACTTTGGGCATTAATATTTGCAGGATTAGGCTATAAAGAGACAGATCCTTGTTCTATTGAAGGTAATGGCAAAACTCCTATACATGGGGCTAAGATTTGGTCAACCAGAGAGACTGAAGTCAAAATATAAACAATACATTTTTACAGGTCTTGAAGTGAAATTATCAATATTACAATAAAACATATTGACTGTAAGTCTTAGTACTCAATGGCAAAACGACCAGTCAAATTAACTACAAGATGACCTTTTGGTTTTGTGTTTGTTTTTTGTTTTTTTAAAGTAACTTCTGACTTTCCCCATGTCTTTAGTTCCAGACATTGGCAAGATGTACACAAGCTTACCAACTTGTCTCTGTCTTCCTTGTGGTATGGGACCTGAGTCAAACTCTCTGTAGACGCTACCTCCTCACTTAGGATGAGGTGCCCTTCAGACCTATTCTCAGGAAGTGATGAGGTCTGGAACAGAGCAAGCTGGCCATTTAAAGGTAAATTGCTACCAGTGCACTTGTAGGGCCTCAGCCCTTTTAAAACTTGGACGAGTTGTATGACTGAGAAGGGAATCATGTGATGGCATGACTCCCACTAAATAAGAGGGAGACAGGGAGGGCAAGATGTACCTGGGAGCAGGGGTGTTGGAACAGTTTTTATAGTGGGGGTGCTGAAAGCCATTGAACAAAACTTTACACGCTATATATGATGGAAACCATTTAAAGCCAGGGGTGCTGTCACACCCCCAGCACTCTTGAGTTCCAGCACCACTGCTGGGTGCATTTCCACAGCTGGACCTGGGAAGGGAAGAACTGAAGGGAACAGAAGCAGCTGCCCCAGAAAGCACTAATTGGGGACTGAAGGAACAAAGAAGTGTGTGCAAGGCAGCCTTGAGGAAACAACTAAAGGCTGGGGAAAGGAAGCACCCAAGGAAGGGGTGGAGTTTGGGTTAGAAAGCTGGCAGGGAGGCCTGGAGCTATCGGTGGGTCTCCATCACAGGCCTCTGGAAGACATCCTGGAATACAGGGTTGTTGCTTTTTTTTATTAGGGCCAAGGAGGAGTGTGCTCTGCATTGAGATGTAAGGAGCTCTTGTTCTGGTGATGCTTTGGGGCAGGAGGAGGATGGTCTGGGCTTGGACAGATGGAGCAGTATGGGGATGACACCTCTGTGCAATTGCTCTTCAGTTAGGGTTTCCCAGGCCAGGACTGTGGAAGAAGGGGGAGGAGCCTCCCAACACCCGGTCCCTGCAGCCATGGAGAAGAACTTATCTCGGGGATGGGCAAGAACTGGTGTTAATCCCTATCTTCAGGAGAAAGGGACTCAACCCAGGAGGGAGGGGGACGGTCTGCTTTTGTTCGACTCATTTACTTTGGGAGAGGATCCTTTTGGTTTGGCCAGAGGGTTAAAGCACCCAAAGCATCCTACCAGCTGGAGGGAGACACTGGGCCACAAGGAGAAACTGAGGCATGGCACACCTGATGAGGTTCCAGGTAAGATCTTGTCACAAGGAAGGAAACCAGACTGCTGATCGTTTCATTCCTGAGCCTTATTGTCCCGTAACGATCTCTATGGCTTTTGTTTGGAAATGAACGCTTCAGCCTTCAACGACTTCCCTTGTATACTGTTCACAGTGAGACGTGAGGTGATAATTGGAAATAGCATGCGAGAGCTTTGCAAAATGTTGGTTAAACAGATTTATATGAATAAAGTGGAACTGACTTAAATGTCACCTATTTAAAAAACATTTGCCCCAGGACAAAATATGTGTAGAAATACAATGAAGTCTTGAACAAGAATAAGCTCAGTGGCTGAATGAAACTTTAGCACGGAGAGATGAATGCTATAGAAAAACAACCAGATAACAGAACAGTTCTGCTAAACAAACACATTTGCTAAAGCAACATGAATAATTCGTAACAAATAACTTATCCATCACATTTAGATGCTTTTTCTCCCCCTTTGCCTCTTGCCTGTGAGGAGTTTGACTTCCTCCCCATAAATTTATTCACTAAAAATGTCATAATTTCTACAAATTCCTGCCAATAGGTCATGATTTTCAGGGGAACTGTAAGCTTTAAAAAAAATCTTTGGTTTGGGATACATTTTTGTGTTTTAAGTGGTGGTGGTGACGGGCTGGTTAAAACTGGAGGTTTCCAGAACAAACACATGGTTATGAATTGAAAGTTCTTTCTGCAGATATTCTCAAGCAGCCTCTGAAATTTGGGGGAGGGAAACGCCATACAAATGAAAGGAATCCCCAAACCTAAATTTGGGAAGATTGTTAAATGTGAGGTGACACTTTATATGTTAAGACCCGATTCATAAAGCATTAATTCCAGTGTTTGTCTATATTTTTCACTGGGTTTTAATGTCTCGGGCAGCCGTTGATCGGATTAAAGTAACATGACGTGAAAGTCATTTTGTGCCTGCTTTAGTGCCATAAAGTTTATCCTTGGATTGTGGGACTGTCCCAGTTGGGCAAGACTGATGCATTATGGCCAACCTCTTAAACCATAGGCCACTTATCAAGGTCCCACTAAAGATAATGCAGAGTTGCAGTGACTACACCACATAGGTGGTGACAGCAGAGTTGGCAGCTCTGGTTTCCATAGTTTTCCCCATAGATGCAGGTTTTCAGGATTTCTGAAGTCTCTGGGGAACACCTGTCCCTCTATGGGAACATCCCTTTGAGGTGGGGGAGAGGGAGAAGGCAGCTTCTTTGTCCTTCAGCACTTGGAATGGGCTGAGCTCCACCACTCTCGAAGGCCCAGGAGCATGCCTGAAACACTTGTCCTTTCCTTCCTCTGTAGCTGGCTCTCCAGCACCTCCTTGCAGGTTCCCGTCATGGCCCTGTCCCTGGGCTGGAACAGCAGGGTGAATAAACTCTCTCCTGTTATCCCCACCCCATGGCTTGGGCAGGGGATGGAGGTGTGATTCCCAGGTGCCCCAGACAGCACTAAGAGAGGACTGAAGGAACAAAGAAGCTGGGGATGGATGGAGTAGAAAAGCCTAGTGCTGAGGAAAGCAACAGGAATGGGCACATCTGGAGAATCTGCACAAGTGTTTGGGAGGCTGGGTAAGGGGGAGGCAGATTAATACACTGGGGTGGGGAGAAGGGGTGCTCTGAAACATATACACACACACACACATATGTATGTATATGTATGTGTATGTATATGTATGTGTATGTATGTGGCAGATCATATTATAGGGAGGGGTTTCTCTGGCAGAGTTCTGCAAAACCCCTCCTTCCCAGCAGACTACCACAGGCATGCACTCTTGGGGCAGGCTCCAGCAGTTGCCCCGTGTTTCTAGCTTGCATGGGATGGGGCTTCCCTAGGCCCTGACCTCCATTAACACCCCCTTCATGCACTGTGGGTGCAGGGTGGCTCTGCTACGCTGTACCTACTTCAGGGCTTCACTCTGCTTCAGGCATTCACAAGCACTCGCTCACTGCAGGTAGCTTGCAGGGCAAGTGGCACAGAAGCCTCTAGTGGCCAACAGGGGAAGTGGCAAGGGCAAAATTCCAGAGCTGCATGTGTTTTTCTTTCAAGGTGTTGAGAGTCCCCTATCTGCCCTAAATGGCAACAACACTGAGTACTGTACTTGGTGTGATGGTGGTGCTGGAGCTTTCAGCTCCTCTCCATTGGTGTGGGAGGGCATGGAAACTACTTTCCCAATCACTAGTAATCACTCGAAGGCCTTTCCTTGACAGATGTCCTGACTATAGCTAGTACACTATAATGGTGCAACCACTAGTGTAGGACAAAACCACTATCTGCTTTGGTAGCCTTTACCTCTTACTTGAAACCCTAGAGTAAGCTCCACCAGTGGCAGTAGTGGTGTTGTATTGGTACAGCCACTCCGACCCTTGTAATTGAGGCAAATCCCCAGCCTAGTTAAACTTATGCAAATTCAAAATCTACTGCCTTTTTTCCCCTCCAGGAAGATATTGATGGGTGTGGGGAGAGAGGGGAAGAGAGGCCCAAATAGCCATGCCAGTGTCGGAGAAAAACAGAGTTCTCACTATTTGTTTGGGTACAGCAAGTCAGATGCTTTATTAACTCTAACAACTGCGCAGGGAGTTTTGAACTGCTCCGTTTCCGACCTGGGCAGGTTCACTGTCAGTGGCGTCGTCCGGCGAGGAGGCTACCTCGGTCTAGGAGTGTGTGAACCCATCTTCCCTCCCCTTTTCCTCTCCGTGTGAGCCACTGACAGTCTGATCATCTCACTGGATGCAACAGAGTAAGCGCCGCCGTCTCTCTGAGACTAGCCGACGCTCTTTGTTGAAGGGAGGTGTAGGAGGGTCGTGGCCATCCTCGTTAGTCTCTCCTGTGTGACTACCCTGTAGGGAGAGATCCTTAGTTTATGTGCCGCTAGCGCGGACAGGGCATCCTCCTCCGTGTGTGTGTGTGATTGGAAAATGGGTGGGGGACAGTCTAAGGATTCCCTCTCCCCCACTAAGGGTACCCCAGCTTATTTCATGTACGTACATTATGGTACTAAAACCTACAGGTAAACAATTACAGCAAGCATTTATACCTTTTGTTACAGACAATAATAAGCAACAGCTGCGTTTTGTTTATACATAGGTCATTCTGATATCTTGTTTTGCTCAGTAATAAAGACTACTTCTACATACCATATAATCTACACA